ACTCTGAGGTTCTACTGTACAATGAATAAATAATAATAATCCCCTTGATCCTCTGATTTAGGACAAATGGGAACGTGTCAGTTGCCTTCAAAATAATCTTCTCAAATTGAGGCCGTTTGTTTGCTTTGCTTGGGCTAGCCAACTGTGACTGTGAACTAGAGCAGGTCAGCAAACTTCCAAAATTGTGACCCAAAAAACCACCAATTGGTTCATTTTTTTTCACGCCAGCTTTAGTCAACGCCTTTTAAGCTGCACATGCATTTAATTAAAACTTTTTTATTAAAAAAACATGTTCTTTTTATTCTCCTCCCCCCACACACACACACTATTATTTTTCCCTAGCTGCTGTGTGTGTGTGTGTGTGTTTCATACTTGGATTCTTCAACATAAACAGGAAACATCATTCACGTTGGTGTGATGAAAAGCTGTTTGAGAAAGTGTGGTGTGCGTGGGAAGTTACAACACAATCAAATATATGACACAAGCATCAGGGATGCCAGATGTTCCTCAAAGGGCAGGGAAGGGGAGCAGCTAGTGAATTAGCTCTTCTCCTCTGTGGGAGAAGGTTGGCAGCATTACATGTTGCTCATAGAGAAAGATGAGAGAGAAAGAATTTACTGAGAGGTGGGAGGACTGATCCAGTGAAGGGGATAACCCAGATCAGCTGGGAGCAGAGAGACCAAGGAATGGCCAGGAACCCTTTACCATGGTGGGGAAGGTAACCTGACCTAATGGAACTGAAAGACAGTTGAGGGGCTTGTCAGTGGCAGAGGAAGCTGCTGACCAAGAATTGGGAGAAGAGCAGGGAAGCCCAGCTCCTTCCCAGAGGAGACCGAGAGAACTGTCTGGGAATCTGCCAGAACTGAGGAGACAGGAGCCAAGCTAAGAATAGACACCAAAGAAAGTCAGCGCCTTACGGAGCCTGGCATCAGATGGGGCGGTGGCCGACAGAGCCCTCTGCCAGTATGCAGCAAGAGGTCCTCTTTGTTAAGAAGAATTATTGTTGTGTTTGTGAGCTTTCCGGTGCTCTGACTTTTGCTGCTTTTTTTGAGTCTTCTCGCTGATTTTCACTGGCTGCTGGGATGCTTGGCCCTCTTGGAGGGTCTTGTGCCATTCCCTGAGCGCTCTATTTAATGTTTCTCATTGATGGCGGATTTCTTGGCTTCTCTAACATTCGCTATCCTTTTTTGGCTTGAGGTGACTGAGAGGTGGGTGTTTACATGGGTGCTCTGGCAGTGATTTATCTGGACACCCACTCACTGAAAGAGCCCAAGGGGCAAAGATCCTTTGGTGAGTGTGTTCACCAGCTCTTCTTGGGGGTAGCCAGAAAGACATTTTTTGTGCAACTTCTTGGAGACATGGTCTGAGCTTTACTTAAACCAGAAAAATGAGCCCAGTTTGTTGCTTTGTTCTCACCATCCCTGGCCCGCTCCCAGGGTGTCACGGTGCCCCCACCTGCTGCATGGCAGGGATAGTTATAGAGTGATGGGGCACTAGGAGTGGCTGAAAGGATAAAATCCCCTGCAGAAGCTTTCAGCTTTATCAATGGATCTGTAATCCAACTCCACTCAGTGTGGCACTTTATCCCCTTCTAGTGGTGGCTGGGTCACATACCCAGCTTGATAAAACTGCAATAGCCTTGACTGTATGCGGTGGTAGTGTAGTTATGTTGGTCCCAGCATAGTAGAGAGAAGAGGCGGGTAAGGTAATATCCTTTCTTGGACCAACTTCTGTTGGTGCGAGAGACAAGCTTACACAGAGACCCAGAGAAGAGCTCCGTCTCAAAAGCTTGTCTCTCACACCAACCGTAATTAGTCCAATAAACGATACTACCTCACCCACCTTGTCTCTCTAGTACCCTTGGCTCACAGAGCTGGTTTGTAGCTCAGGCTGTCGAGGTTTTGGGTTTTAAAAAGTTTTCATAAACACTCTGGATGCTGTTGGCTCAAGGTTGATTTTACAAGTGTTAATAGCATTTGCTGGGAGGGAAACCTAAAATAAAAACATGGTTTTCAGCTAGAGAAATTTATTATTATTTCCTCATTTTACTTTGGATCTTGCTTTTACCCCCTCATATCTTTGAGTCTTTTTTCCTTTTAATTTGTACTCTGGATTTTTCATTGAATCATAGAAATGTGGGGCCTGGAAGGGACCTTGACCATCCCTAACAATGTTTGTCTAAGCTGTTCTTAAAAACCTCCAATGACAGATTCCACAACCTCCCTTGTAAGGCTATTCTATTTCTTAAGTATCTTTATAGTTAGAACATTTTTTCTAATAGTTAACCTAAATCTCACTTGCTAAAGATTAAGACAAATACTTCTTGTACCCTCAATGAACATGAAGAATGATCACCATCCTCTTCATAACAGCCCTTACCATATCTGAAGGCTATCAGGTTCATGAAACTATCACTGCATTTAACACCTCCCCTGTACAATGTTCTTCCTGAAAGATGAAGTATTGAATGAGTTTAGCCAAAGCAGCTACATAAAACTTATTACCACAGTAAATCATTGCACTATTTCACGTTTTCTACAGATAGAGGTTGTGGTTTTTCTTTGTCTTACTGCTACTGGAATAGGACCTATAAATGCCAAAATTTTATAGGCTTTGTTTATGTAAACATTTACTATACTTTAAAAATTTGTAATTCAATAAGTATTACAACATTCTTCAATTAAAGATTCTACTGAACTTTTTTTTTAAAAAAAGGGGATGACCCTTAAAAGTGTGTTTGGAATCTAATTATTTCAAAGGGCTAGCTAGTGGATTTTGCTTAGAGGTGGTGTATTTAGCATCAACCTTGGCACCTTTAAATGCAGCATGCTTAAATAGGTCCCCACACAGTAATAAGCAAACCAGGGTCAGGATCCTCCTTAGAATTCATGGTCACTTACTGTACCACACCAGGCATATTGTTACTACACCAATATGCTTAAACAAGTTACCTATAACTACATTTATAACACTCTTAACCTTTGAAAACAAGCCTGTGTCTAGAAGAACTAGCTACCCTGTTTCCCCGAAAATAAGACAGTGTCTTATATTAATTTTTGCTCCCAAAGATGCGCTAGGTCTTATTTTCAGGGGATGTCTTATTTTTCAGAAATGAAAAATGCCTTATTATCAGTGGATGCCTTATTATCGGGGAAACAGGGTACCTACAGTCCCTTAGAGATATAAATAATAAAGTTTTCCTGTTTTATATTACTATCAAGCTGCCAGTTAACCAGTTTCCTCAACTGCTTTCTTTCCATTTCTCCTCCCAGTCCCCATTTCTCTACATAGATAACTGAACACTGTACCGGCCCGAACTCCTTTTATAGTGCGATGGGGGACCTGAAGGAAGACTGAGACCTCTTATCCTGCGGCCCTCAGGTAACACTTCCCCCTGGCGTGTTCCAGCAGCGAACAGCCACTCCTCGCGCTCCGCCCATTCGCCTTTTCATTGGTTTGTTTAGGAAACCAATCAAACGACACTGACTTTTGAAGATTGACTTATAGACTTGTTTCGTTGCGGGCCTGGGGGGACTGGAAAGGTGACTTTGCTCTCACTTTGCTCACAGGGACCGGGCCTGTAGGGTCGGATCGCGCCTAGCATAGTTGGGCTTCCTTCCTGATCGGGGTTTCAGTTTGATGTATCAATACAATGAAATATTTGCTAAAATAAGCCCTTAATTTTACCTCTATCCATTACAAAGCACATGTGCTATGCCCCCAGGGGTGGGGAATGCCTTTTTTTTTTAAACATGTCACTCATGAAGAAAGAAACCAGACCCCCAAAGGAGCACCCAAAAAAGTGTGTGGGGAGGGGGGGTGTCTTTTCTTTTTTTCTCTCTTAATACTGTACAGGGGAAGTACTGTGGCCCAGCAAAGGATCTTTGTTTCATTCCTACATTTCTCTCCCAGGTGGTAACAAGAACACAGCGCCTTGTTCATAAATCCATGAATGTTCCTAAAGGAGCCAAACTGTATCCCGCTATTGTAGGGAGAACAAAGCAGGTCGCTCGGAAATCTGCCGGTGGGACGGTGGCTCGCTGAGTGGAACAGCTCACAAATTACTGTCTTCTAATAAGCCCAGTGAAGATAAGCTTCGTTGTTGTTTTTACAGGATCAGGACAGCGGAGCTCTGTAAACGAAGGTCGCTCTTCAAATCCGGAGCGACTTTTCGGACCAGGCGCTAGCTACAAAGGAAGTTTAGGGAGCAGCCGCAATAGCAGACCTCCTGCAGCGCCACAAGTGCTAAATCGATACGGATTAATCTTCTTCATCCCATTTACAGCAAGATCACTCTTCCGAACAGTGTTAGGTGCCTGCTGATTCTGTGGCATCTCCCCCAAGCAGATTTCCGAGCACTCTGCCTTGTTCTCACCACAACCAGACAGTGAATGTCTCACCATCGCTACACCACAAAAACAGAAAACCGCAATCAAATAACCACAACGGGAAATACGGTACAACTTTGAGCTCATGTATAGCGGCAAGGGCGGGTGCTAATTGGATGAAATAACTGGTAGAGCGTTTGTGGGGGAGGACAGGGGCTGGTCAGGGGAAGGCGGCCTGCACTTTCATTGGGCAGTAAGTTACCGCCGGACCTGATAGGAAACAGGCACCAGCTCCGGTTCTCTGCTAGAATCGTTAAAGCGACAAACGTGGATATAAATTTCGTAATAAAAGTGTATTGAGGTTACAATTTTGATCATTACTGCGGAGTAAAACGATCATTTTAAAGTATTTGTTTACGTGAAGATTTTTTTTCACGGAACTTTTTTTTTCAGGGGAGGACGATTTTATTGATTACTTGAAAAATCAACTTGGAATATTTTTCAATGGGAATTTTTCGATTTTTTTACGTTGTCCTAGGCAATCTTGTTAGTAAAATACACAGAATAAAATTCCAAATCAAAGATTTCCCTCCAAGAAGCATCTTTGTCGGTAAAAGCTCACGCCGCACCGCCCATGCTCTCCCGGCGAAACAGCAGCTCACTTAGTGAATATTGAGGGTGGCTCTTAAAAGAGCCTTTGAGTTTATATGTATTAGTTGACGAGGAATGTGTTTTTAATGCCTCTTGCCTCCAGCTTTGCCGCGGGGGGCAGCCCTCCCCTTGGGTCTGGCCGGGTTTTTGTGGGCCTTGGGTTTTTTAACAGCTGGCTTGGTTTCCCTGCCGGGCCCCTTTGCCTTCCTAGCTGCTGTGAGGTTAATTTTTTTCGGAGACCTCCTGGCCGCTATCTGGGTTTTGGGTCTCTTGACGGCCGTTTTTTTCTTCGTTGCTTTCAAGGCGCCCCCCTTCTTCTGGCGCTTGTTGACCCTGAAGGATCCCGAGACGCCGCTGCCCGTCACCCGCTGCAGCAGCCCTTTGCTAACGAGAGAGCTGAGCGTCGCCTTCAGGCGACCGTTGTTCTTCTGCACGTCGTACCCCTCGGCCAAGAGCGCCTTCTTGATGGCAGCCAGAGAGGCGCCCTTGCGGGCTGTAGAGACGCAAACAGCCCGCAGAATGAGGTCGGGGAGAGACGGCCTCCCTTTCTTCTTAGGTAGAAAAGTAGCTAGAGCCCCTTCTGAGAGAGAAGCCTGGGAGGCGGAGCTTAAATTTCGCATTTCTCCCCACTGTATTCACAGCCACAAGAACCGCCGCCGCCACCGCCGCCTCGCTGCAACCGCTGCTGCTGCTGCTGCTGCTGCCGCCGCCTCTGAGCTGCAAAGCGACAAGCTCCCACGAAGCTTCCACGACTCTCCGCTCCAAACTGATCGCGCGGGTCGCCTAACGGGCTTTATATAGAGCAGAACCCGACGCAACCGACTCAACCAGGTCGCCGCGCGCACCGCCTCCCCCGACGGCGGACGCAACAGAATCAATCAGCCTCTCCTTGCCTCCTAGCGTCTCAGAAATCTGTGTTTCTGAAACTCCACTGATCTCTAATTTTAAAAGCCCCACTGGCTTTTTGATCAATTAACGTAGACGTCCCCAGGCTAGGACTGTTAGGTGGTTTTATTCGCTGCATTTTTTTGATCCACTGAATAAGCTCCCCGCGCCAGAAATCGACAAAACCCTCGATTTATCCACCTGCCTGTCCTCCAAAAGTAAACAAAATTTGGGTTTAATCTTAAATTACAATTTCAATTCTGTGCCTGCCCTCAAGATATCGAGGGAACAGTATTAAGGCGGAGTGAGGTATCCCACACAAAGAAATTAAATGATTTCTTTCTTTGTTTTTTTTGTGCAGTGCCCTTCCAAAGACAAACAAGAAACACACCTAGGCTTCCCCATACTCGCCTATGAGGCTTTGTCTAATTTCAGAAGGAAATAAATATCTCTAGTTTTCTGTCATAGTAAAACATTACAATGTACTTTAAACGTTCTGCTGTTTTAATTTATATAGGGATGCATCCTACTCTCATTCACCTGGCTGAAATTAATGTCAAAACATCCATTAACTTCAGTAGAAAGAGCAAAAGTTGCAGAAAACTATAGGATACACATGCAAAAAAATGTAACAGGGAGGAAGAATAATTATTTTCATGTGTTTGGAAAATAATTATATTGTTTTAAGGTATAGGTTTTTAGTAAAAGGGGAAGCTAATTTTGATATCATACTTTGGGTTTTACAATAGAGGCATTTTATTTTATTTCGTTTTATTTAGATCCCGATTGTTTTAGGCGTCTGGTTTAAAGGTATTAGCCTATAATCTGCAAAAGTGGCTAGACGCTATGGGTGCCTCAAACGTCGAGTTCCCAGCACAAGCCTATTGGGGTGTGTGTGGGGGGGTGCAATGGTTTGATTGAAGTTGATAATTCAGGTGCTACATTTGCTGTCTCACATTACAGGACCAAGGTGTCATCCAACATAACCATATCATCGAAATGGAATAACTTTAAAACGGACAAGAATGATTTAACGGAATAAATACCCAGCAGGACTCAAAATTATTGAGGAAAAGACTTTAGGATTGGCTAGTTATATAAATAGCAAGATCATTGACACTTAGCATTACAGGGAGAGGGAAGAGACGGGGGGGGGGAGACTAGAAAGGACAAACCCACTCACGCTTCAGACCAAGATCCAAGCAGCCTCGACTTTCCTGTAGCTGACTTCCCAGAGCTTGCTGTATACGGACAGGCACGATAAATTCTGTGGCAATGCGCTCAGACAGATAATTTGCGGCAGAATTCAAGATGCTCAGGACCTTAGAAAACATGCCCAAGTGCCCATGTGAACCTACTTCAGCATCTCTTACAGGTATGCGGAATAAAACGCTTTCCTACTCTTTTTCCGCACCCTTCTTTGAGACATCACCAATCAGCATCTGTCTACATTTCTTCATCGTACAAACACACACCTTTCTCCCTATTCTTTTCCCTACAAAAACAAACAAACAAACAACCCCCCCCCCAAAAAAAAAACGAAACGTAGGATCGCGGAGTTCCCATGTATTAAATAGTGGCAGACCTGAAGGGACACTGAGACCGCCTACCACCTAACCTTTCGCTAGTACAGGTCTCACCCTTCACTTCTGTATCTACCCATCAGCCTCGCCTTCTTGATATGTAATTAAGGATCCAAACATTTCTCCTTTTCATTAGCTCATCCGGGAAACCAAGCAAAAATAGAACCAATGTTTCCCCGCCTCCAAAGTATCTGTCATGGATTTAAAATGCCATAGTGTGTAAACCCTTCTCTTCTCCTAGACTAGCCTGAGAAAATGATGGAATTTTAACAATAATTTGGAGAAAAATCACGATTTTTTGTTTATTGGCTTCCTTAGCCGGGGAGCAGATTCGAGATTTTTGTATATTTTCCCTGACAGAGATTGAGTGTTTTAGTTTATCTGATCACCAAATTCTGGTGAACGAAACAGCCTCACCAGGCGAACATAACACACGGGTTATTAGTGTTAGAGGACCAGAGAGAGGCGGGGAAAGTAACAAGTTGCAATCGGCCCGTCCAGCGCTCC